TCATTTAATTTTTATTTAGGAAAACATAAGAAATAAATACAATCTCATGGTTTTCTAGGGAATAAAAACCTTGAAGATGAATATATGTTTTAAAAAGAATTTTTTCAGTATAGGTTTGTCAATAAAAGAAAATCACTTTCAGTATATTTAGGGTCCATCTCCAAAATATCTCCACACAGAGACTAGTAAGTTAAGAACAATCTATTATCTCTGAGAAATACAGGCGAATTACCACATACCCAAGAATGGCCTACCTGCCTAAACGACACAGTATGGACATGTTCATACTATATTTCTCATAGCTTTTAGGGTAAAATCCATAGGTTCTTTAGGCTGGACGAAATCTTTTTGTTCATTCTCTTATACAGGCATTTAATTAATTTTTACTCTTTGCCAAACACCATGACCATGCAGTCCATCCCTTTCATGAAAAAGCTGGTCATAAAGTTGGTTAGAGACAGGGCTGGAAACAAGGCCCAGATGTCCTATATCCAGGACACTTCACCCCACAGTGCTGTTAAATATTCCCACATAGTTACATGCAGGTGATAAAATGGCAAAGCATCTGTGTACAGCATGTGACTTGCATGTAATTTATGTAATAAAAATGAAATACAACCCTTTGCTAGCCATTTCTGTGTTACTCTAAATGTCCCAATGTAAAGAAGGTTCAGTGTCAGGGCTAATAATTTCAAAATCAGTTTGGGAATCTTGCAAATAAATCTTTCCCTACCTATTCATACTCCGTATGACTCATGCATTTCAATCACATCCTTTCTCAAGTGTTTCCTGTCCAGATTAAAATCCTATAAATAGCACTGATCCCCGAGGAACACATCTTCTTGTTCCTAACCTTTGGATATGAATCTAGTCTCCTATCCATGGTAAAAAATGAATGCCCTAACCTCATGATAGCCTCCTTAAAGGATTTATCTGAGTGAGAATTTAACACATACAGTCCTAACAATGTAAAATTTCATTTTCTGAAGTGTTTATACTCTTCTTTTACACAAAGAAACCTCCTACTTCGTTAAATATTGCTGAACTTGGTGGCAGCTTAGGAGGTCAAACATATGTGAGCAGAGTGCAGCTCTTCCTACCAGCTGCCTTCCTCTCTGCATAGACATAAATCCTGCCCAAGGAGTTTCTGGTGGGCAAGGGACTAAGACCTACTTTGAGATAACTGCAAGAACTTTTCTAACATTTTTGCTTGGTAAACTCCTCCACAGGCAAGTGAATCAAGGGATACCAAACTTTTAGCTGAATGAGTAAGAATAAGAATTCTGATTTCAATCCAGGTTCAAATCCTAACTCTGCACCTACCTACCTACCAATGCTTTTGACGATGACATGTATCTTAGTCACTTTCCTACTTGCTGAGACAAAATACCTAATATTCACAACTGAAAGGAGGAGGGCTTACTTTGGCTCACCTGTTTTAGCCCATAGTCTGCAGGCTGGAAAGCATGGTGGAGGGGTGTGGCAGATAAAGGCTGCTCAGGGGAAGGTAGGCAGATAGGGAAGAGCTGAGCAGGCCCATAAACCTAGTAGGCCATTCCTCTAGTAACCCGCCTCTTCTGAGCTGAACCCCTTCCTAACAAGTCAACTGGAAGCCTGCATAATCCAGTCACCTTTCAAAAGCCCACCTAGGGGTGCATTTAATCTTCTTGTCCAAGGCCAACTCACTTCCAAATGTGGACAAAATCAGTTTCTTCATCAGGTTTTTGAGGGTTGTTAGTGTTATTAATAATTCCACCAACAAATATTTATTAACTTCTTATTGCATTCATAGCCCTACCCTTCAGGAAATTTAGTTTTATTGTTGTTTTTACACTGAAACGTAAGGGTTGTTACAGTCAATAGTAAGATGACCTCATTTTGAATAAATTAAGAGTTAAATTTTATAAATTAAGAGTTTTAGGGCTGGGGAGATGGCTCACTAGAATAAGCGCTTCCCTGGCAAGTGCAAGGGCCTGAGTTCAATCCTTGGTTCCACCAAAAAAAAAAGTTTTATAAAACTTTTTTCAGTTCCATATATTTTTGTACATATGCGTGGCCTGGGTCTTATTATAAAATGTACTTCTTATTATGAGTTTAGTAGAGAAGATAAATGATTAAATAGCCTTACTGTATTTTGTGATAACTGCAGCGTTTTGGGCACATGGATAGGTCATCCTCCTGAGGCATGAGGTAGGGACAGAGAATCAGCCAAGCCTTCGAGGAGGACATGACATCAAAGCTGAGATTTAAAGGATGAGTAAAACTTTTCCAAAGAAGTTGTTGGTGGTAGGAAGCAGTTCCTTTAAGGGCTATGAGGAGCTCTGTGGGGACAGTTGGGAGACCACTCAGTGGTGATGTAGTGGATTTCAGGAAGGGCTCTGTATTTCAGCAGAAGTGAGTGTATGCTTGGTGACTGAGAAGGGAAAGTGCTGTGAACAGGAGGGGTTTGGGATGATCCTGACTTGTTTCACACCTCTGATGTCTACTTTACAAAGAGTTCAAGAGACAAATGGAAGTTTGTTAACTAAACTCTAACTTATGGAAACATTGTCATAAATAGGAAGACAAAGCCTTTCCATCACTTTGCAAATCATCTTTCCATCCTGCTGGACATATCTGCAGACTGTTGCCTGTAGGCCTAGGAGTTGGTAGGGCTTCCTGTTCCAAAGTAGGCGTGCTCTTGGCAGGAGACAGAAGGCTGGAAACAGAATGGAAACTGGGCTAGCCAAGCACCTTACATGAGGAGAAGAGGAAGGAGAACCTGGGTACTTTCCCATGTGATCCAGAATATCTGCACAGAAAATAATGTAAAAGTACAGATAACTCAAAGATGTTTATATTTGGCTTTGAAATGCCTTGCATTTTTGGCAGTGAACTTACCTTGCCAAATGTTTTTCTTAGGCCATATTTTGTATTTCCTGAACACAGACCAGCTGGACAGCAGGGGGATAAGCTGGTGCCCAAGGGGAAGTGTAGGTGAGTGGCTGAGGAGGACCTAATATTTTAAAATTGAGCTGACAGTGGAAGTCTCCCTCGTCATTTCAGTTGATCAATATTTATTTGTCTACCAGTAACATGCCACAGAGCAGTGTGCTTTTACTGACCTAAGCCTTGCCAGGTCACGTGGTAGCTTGAAAAAACAGATATCTAGTTCTCAGCACCTATCTCCCCATCACCAAATACTTCACAGAGCTCCCTTTACACTCCAGGGTGGCAGCCAGGGGTTCACAGCAATCTCAAAATCAAACCATATTTGGAGCACAAGGCATGCTGTTTACTGATGTTAGTGTCAAATATATCTTAATTCATAATGGGTCCCTTTTACAGAAGAGTTGCCAGATCAGAAGGCCCTTTTCCCGCTACTCATAAGATTGCTGCTTCCAGACAAATTAAAAGGTTAGCTTAAACTCTCTGCCTCAGGCCTACCTAAAAAAAACGAAGGCTTCCGAGGAATAACTAAGAGAAAGGGTTTCTGCTTCCAACTCCCCACAAGACCCTAGATTAGTCAGGGTGGCAGCCTCTCCCTACTAAAGAATCCCAATCATCCCCCCAGTTCTTCCATCTGGACTGTGCCAAGCCATGGTAGGAGCCTGGTCCAGGCTGGATTTCACCGGAGTAACTAGTAGCAGGCCAGAATCCGGAAGTTCAGGAACATTGGGGTTCCCTAATTCCTCGTAAAACTAAGTGCTCTTCTTCATTATTGCTGAAAGGAGGGTAGTTCCTAGTTTCCCAGTTTTTATGTGATTGGAGCATGTACACAAGACATTCTTAATCCTTAAAGGTACTCCGTGATTCACCTGCAATTTTCCAACTGCTGGTATCTTTCACTTAATCAAACCTCTGTCCTACAGAGAAAAGCTGCCAAACTCAGGGAGCCAGGTGTTTCGTGAAAAATTCGAGGAAGCAAACTTGCAGCGGAGGCCCCCAAACCTACCTTGAGGACCTTGCCCCACCCCAGTGCCACTTTTCACTTACCCCTCCGCGCCTCAGCCACACACCTCGCTGAGATCATCCTCAGCTGGCAGTCAGGAGAGGAAAGAAAACGAGAGCTAAAGCAACAGGTTCCACCTACAGCCTGAACTTGGAGGGGCTATAGCAGCCAGCGACTGGAGCCGGGCGGGTGGTGGCAGGGGGGAGTGGCTAGGAGGAAGGAGGAAGGGAAATGCGGGTGTCACACCGCAGGGCTCACGTCACTGGAGCTCACACAAGAGCCTGAATTTGCGGGGGAAGGGGATCCTCCCCAGGGCCACTCGGAGACTTCCGAGCGGATTCGGAGGCGCCAGGCCCACGCTTCGGGATGTGGCGAGGAGGCTTCCGCCGGTGACTAGTCCTGCGGAAAGGCCTTGAGGGGCGCCCCACAAGCCCGAGTGTCTGAGGGTGAAAATGCACCCTTCTCCCAGCTCGCCCCTTACTCCTGGCACCTTCTGCGCCCCTAACGCCCTGTGTCCTCTTCCCTTCGGCCTTTCCCGGGCCTCTCCGGTCTCTTCTCAACTAGCTGCCCGCTCCAGCCTGCGGCCGAGAAAGCCGGGAGAGCGGACTGCGCCGCGCCCGCAGCCTCTGGGCATGCTCGGTGGCGGGCCGGCTCAGCCGCCGGGAGGGCGCGTCCTTCCTCCCCCGGGCGGCGGCGGAGCCTGCGGCGACAGTCGCCGCGCCCCGGCCCGGCCCACCTTTGGGGGAGGCGGGGGGAGCACCCGGCCCCGCCATCCCGGGTATTTGGGCAGCTGGAGGGAGAAGCACGGAGGCCAAAGTGAGTGCTCCGCCGCCTGCGGTTCCTCTGAAAGTAGAGCTGGGATCGCGCAGCCCCGGCTCCCGGAGCTGGCGGGAGGGGCGGGGCGCGGCCAGGTGGGGGTGGGCTCGGCGCCCGGAGCGAGGTGCTTGATTAGTAGCCGCCCACTCCGTCCTTGGCCCGCCCCCCGGGAATTAGAATTCCGTGAGAAAGTGTCTGGTTCTGGGAGAATCCTCGGGGCTGCGTGCAGGGGTGCGCCTGGCGCAAAATGGTTACAACAAAGTCCGCGTGCGCCCCGAGGTTCCTCGTAGGAAAAGTGTGTCCTGGGGTCTGGGCGCACCTTTGCTAAATGTGAGGGTTAGTAACTCGGAGGCAGTGCAGTAGGCGAAGGGAGAAGGGCGAAGGGCGCCCGTGGGAAGCTTCGGCTGGCGCTGCTCTCGCACCCGGGCCTCCTGGGGGCGCACCGGGGGCCGGCGGCGGCGGCGGCGGCGGTGGTGGGGCGGTGGCGGTGGCGGTGGCGGTGGCGGTAGCGGGTGGCGGGGAGCGGGGAACAGGGAACGGGGCGGGCGCGGCGGGCTCGGCCGCAGCTCACTCTCTGCCTCCTCCCCCAGGACTACCGAGAGGATGGGATGGATCTAGGCAGTGACGCCGGCAGTAGCAGCAGCAGCCGCGCCAGTTCACAGTCCAACTCCACGAAAGTGACCCCCTGCTCCGAGTGCAAATCCTCATCGTCGCCGGGGGGCAGCCTGGACTTGGTGTCTGCCCTGGAGGACTATGAGGAGCCTTTTCCGGGCTACCAGAAGAAGGTGATTGATGAATGGGCGCCGGAGGAGGAGGAAGAGGAGGACGAGCGAGGGTGCCGGGATGACCGGTGTGCGGCTCCAGGGCCTGGGGACGTGAGTGCCAGGACCGGCGGCAGCGGCCGGGGCAGGAGCACCACCACGACCATACCGCCCCCGATGCCCAACGGCAACCTCCACCCACACGACCCCCAGGACCTCAGGCACAATGGCAATGTGGTGCTGCCTGGCCGGCTGAGCGGTACCCGGGTCCCCCGCCGGGCAACCCAGAAGCCCCAGCCGGCGGTGAGTCGGTACGGTGGTCGGGGCCCGGCGGCTGGGGGGCTCTGTCTCCAACCTCCGGACGGCGGGACTTGCGTCCCAGAAGAGCCTCCTGCACCTCCTATGGACTGGGAGGCATTGGAGAAGCATCTGGCCGGGCTGCAGTTCCGGGAGCAGGAGGTGCGAAACCAGGGCCAGGCGAGGACCAACTCCACCTCCGTAAGTTGGCAAGGGTGCGTGCCCAAGCCGCACGCTCTTACACACCCGGCGCGCAGCCCGCACGCCCCTTTCTCCGCGCTCCAGCCGGCCCGCCTGCGGCCCCATTCATCCTTCCCTGAGGGTGGGGGCTGGGCCGAGAAATCTACCTTCTGCTCCCTTGGGGTTCGGTCGCTCTGTCTGAGCGCTGTCTGGGTTTACTAGATGGGCGGAGAGGAGGGAGGGGTAACCAGAGGGCAGCGGAAAGTGGGCTAGAGGAACCGGCGACTCATTTTGTTGGAATTAGTTATGGAGATGAGGTTGTTAGTCACTTCCCTGAAAATAAACCCGGGGAGATTTTGGCACCGGTCCTAGAGCCTGTGGGGCATACTGCACATCGTAATAGTTGTGGCTTTGTCAATCGTGGTCGGTCTCCCTTCGTTGCCACTCGTGTTTCGCCCATGGGTAGGCTGTCCCTGTCTGCGCGTGGCACACCGTCATCCACCCACACATCTGCCCCGGCCGAGGGGTTCTATCTCGTGTTTAAACCGAGGCTCCCGTATATGGATGAGTTGACAGTCCTCCTCTAGACTTTCTTCTTTTCCGAAACCCGAGCTATTGTTGACCTCGGGGAAAGGGTGAATTGAATGCCAGGATGAGGGAGGAGTTCTTGCCTGGGTTGCCTGACTCATTCCCTCTCCGGTGAATCCCTCCTTGTTTTGATAAAGGAACTACTTACAGTTCCTTACCCGAGGCTACTGCCTCTATTCGGGAAAGCCAGACTGGGAGGGGTGCTGGCGCGGAGGAGAGGGAAGGAGAGGAGGAGGGCCGCATCTATAATTGGCTCTGGCAGGTTCACACTTGTCTCAACATCTTTTTTGCCCCTGAGAGGAGAGCAGATAAATGACTTAGAAGAAAAGCATCAGGAATGTAGCTCAGCTATTCATCATTGTTTTGAGATAAGCAACAGTTGTAATTTGAAATCATTAACGATGTCCCTAAATAGGGCTGAAGGGCACAGCTTAAATGAGTTTCTTTCTGTGTGTGGCAGCTGTGTGGCAGTCTGGGAAAATGCTTGCCTTGGAGGTGTAATTTTTTGAGCCCAGGGCCCTGGGGCTGCTGGAAATTGGGTGCATGCACTTCTGACTCCAGGGGTGAGGATGGTAGCTGCGATTGGAATGGCTTCTATTAGAGAGGGCCCTCAGCTGACAGAGTCCACTGGTTAGTGTCCTACTGGTTTTAATCCCAGGTGGTTTAAAACTTTACTGTGACCACTAACAGACATGAAATCATTCCATTACAATACATAGTATTTTATGTACCTTCCAATAGAAAATATCCTTTTCTCAGAGCTTGAGAAAAATACCTTACTAAGCTCATTAGGTTGAGGAATGACTTGAAGATAAGAGGTTTGTTTACTATTGCACCACACTTCTACATTTTAACATAATGTAATAATTATATATACACAAACAGTTCAGGTTTACTGGTGATGGTAACCTGCTTAAAGTTAAAAGATAAAATTTTATTTTGCACCCATGTGCCCGTACCAGGTATGGTTACCAATGTTGTAATGACAAGTCTGTCCCCATGGAGCTCAAATTCTGGTGAGGGGAGTTAGAGAGGCAGGCTGCTTCCCCTGGAAACTTAGCAGTCATTTGCTTACCTGGAAGTCATCTCTACCCCATCCCCAATGGGCACTCAGAAACCTTTATTTATTGGACCATCTGTCAAGTCAAGTTGTTTAGTTCTTTAATTTTGATCTCTGAAATTTAGGCAGGAGGACAGGGATCTTGCCTTTCACTTGCTGTGATTCAGTGCCTAGGGCAATGCCTGGCCTGTAGTGGGTTCTCAAACATCCAATGAAGGAAGAAGTCTTCATAGGACGAAAACATCCCAGGCCTAACCCAGCCCCATTGTTTCACAATTGAGGTAAGGGATGTCCCAAGAGGTTAAATGATTTGCTTAAGGTCCCAATGGAAAAACCAATGAAAGGAGTTTTGAATTTTAGAGTTTTTTCTTCATTGAATGCTTAAAATAATTTGAAATAAAATGATAGAAGGTGCCCATGTTCCCAAGTTAAAGGATTTCCTTATGGCAGGTCTTATTTTGTACTGCCTTAGCGTTAAGGACAGAAGTAAACTTGAAATCCCATTACTTATGAGTCTTTTCTCAACAGATAGGGCTTGTTTTTTCTGCATGGCATAGCATTAGTTCTGCAATACAATGTCATGAAAGAAGTCAGGGTTCCTGCCGCCCTGTTCTGCTGCCTACAACTGCCATGATATACCCAAGAGGAAGACAGAGATCTCAGAAATGTGTGGATGCTTAGCTGATCCTAATTCAGGGAAGATTCAAGAAGAAATTTAAAACATGCTTGAAAAGACTTTGGATCATGACTTCGTGAAGGGTTAGGTAACTAACTGTTCCCTTGGTGCCCTTGAAGGATTATGAACTCAGGTGGTACCAGATGTTTTGCTGGCAGAGCTGAGAGGGTTCGCAGGAGTCCTGAAGGAAGTACTGTCTGCAGACTTCTTAGAAGTAAGCCACCTACATGACCTCTGGTGGTCTGATACAGGGTAGCAAGTTTACATTGCTCCACTGCCATGTCCCCTACAGCTCACCTTGTTCCTTGGACTGAGTTCTATCCAACAACCAAAAATACTTCCAGAAGTGCCTTTCTCCAGCCTCTGCCTGAATGGTGTCCTGCCTAGGCCTTCCTCCTGTGTGTGAACACTCTTGATGAATTCAAGGGCCAGCTACAAGGGAAGAGCTGTTCTGGGTAATAGTACTTTTGGTATAATATAGGGCCCCTGTTCTCATAAGTTCATGTTCATCCTAAGTCCTCATCTCCCTGCCTGCTTTGACTTTGGTGAAGTAGAACAGATAATCCTGAGGGAAATCAGGAGCTTATCAGTTTCCTTCTATTGAGAACAGGCCCCACGCAGTAGGCTTTCTCTCCTCTCCTGTATTTCCAGAGCCTTAGGTTATAACTGCACCACTCTTTCTCCTAGTCAGGAGCCCTTTTTGAGCCCTTCACCAGGTAGTAGGGAGGATGCAATAGCCTCCTTTTCATAATAGAATATAATGTCACCTCTTTTTCTCCTTGATTTTTCCATGAGAGTTCTGTTCCTGTAGGTTATGTAGGCCAATGTATTTTGCCTGCCTCTGGAAAGCCAGCTCCCTTCCCACAACTTTTGATGCTTTTCTTTATTTTTAAATTATTTATTCATTTATTAATTTTTTAAGACAAGGTCTTGCTATGTAGTTCAGGCTAGCCTTAAACTCACCATGTAGTCCAGACTGGTTTCAAACTCATGGCAAACTTCCTGCTTCAGCCTCCCAAGTACTGGAATTACAGGTGTGTACCAGTATGATATAGTTGACATATGATCAATTGCATTTACTCAAAGCATACAATTTGATGAGTTTTTACACATATAATATGAATAACATATGAATGAGTTATGGTACACATACAAAACAATCACCAAAATCAGGAGAGTATACATGTTATTTCCAAAAGTATCTTTGTGCCACTTTGTAATAGGTTTCCCTAGGGAACCACTAATCTGATGTTTATGCTACAGAGTAGCTTACATTTTCTGAAATTAACATTAGTGGAATCATACATTAGATCCATTCTATTGTGTATATCATAGCTCATTCCTTTCTATTGCTGACTAGTGTTCCATTTTATGGATATACTCAAGTCAGCTCTTGGTAGAGCTCTGAATGCTCATGTACAAGTACTTGTGTGGATCTGCTTTTTTGTTAAGATCAATACCTGTAGGTAGAATGTTTAGATTGCACAGTTGGCATGTGCCTGGTTTTGTGAAGCTGGCTAAGTCTCTTCCAAAGAAGTACTCTAATACATAGTCCTTGCTGTGACTCTCACAGCCCTAACTGGAACCTGGGCTTCCCCTCCTAATAGCTCCTCTATCCCAACCACATCCTTAGGGCTTTCCAGTATGACTCTGTTCAAGCTCCTGAGAGGGCTGCTCCACTCTCTCTTAAGGGAGAACAACAACAACAAAGAGTCAGTGGGATCTCATGTCACGTCAACCAGAGTCATTACAGTTTTGTTCTAAAAAGGAAATGAGTCATCTTAAAGTAGAATTCTCATTGTCAACCTGGCCTGTTTTTTAAGTGCTTTTTTCCTTTGTGCCTGTGATAAGTGTATTTCCTCATTTAGTGAGAAGATAAGAATAATTTTAATTGACATGCTAATTGAAAGCAAGTTTGCCTGATGGTTATTTCCAAAGTACTTGAAAGTAAAATCTTTTTATTTGCTTATACGATTAGCTAGTAGCAAACTTAAAATTACCTACATTTCTTCCTGTAGTAGTACTAATTGCAGGTTATTTTCTGATAGGTTTTTTCCAGGTAATCAGTGTAGCAGAGAAACAGGCAGAAGGAAGAAGGGAAAGGGGCTTTATTTTCTTTGAGGACACAGGAGAGAAAGTGGGGAAGGATGAGGACTTTTCTCTTGACTGGTACAAAGGAGGCCAGGGCTTTTAAGGCCTTTTGCCAGGATGGAGTTTGGAGGGGATGTTTAGGTATACCTGAGGGGGCTGACTAGGGGTCTTCCCTGAGGTGGCGGGAAGGGTGGAAGTGAATTATGTCCTGGGCTGAGATGGAGAAGAAGGGGGAGGTGGTCTTGGGGAAAATAAGCTTTTGTTTTAAGGGCTTCAGCCATATTAGATGACCACCATAATGATTTCAGCAATTCATACCACGGCCAGAACCTATCATTTTCATTGTATTATTATGTACAGTTCATACTAGGGCCAGAACCTATCCTTTTCATTGTATTATTATGTAAGAAGTACACCTGAGTTATGTCCTCCTGACAATGACACTTCATTAGTAGCTTGAATGGCTGAGGTTTGTTTCCTCAGTTACTTGGGCTATGTTTAAATTACATGAGCTCTTGTTTTTGTAGACAAAATTAAGATGTCTTTATTTTCCTAAAATATAGTAAAGCTTGTAAGTTCGGTAAGTTTCATGATTCTGCAGCTTGG